TGCTCTTTTATTTTAAACCATAACCTGGCAATGTTTCTTAGAAAAAAAAATCACTCTGAACTTTCGGCGTTACACGTGTCGCTTTGATGAAGGTGCTCCGTCTTTTTTATAGAATTTTATATTTGTGTCTGGACTAAAAACGAAAGTATTATACTTTTTTATATTCCTTGTAATATAGTAAACACGTAGATATATAATTTGTGGTATAAAAAGTGAAAAGTAAATTGCCAAAAGTACTTCAAAATCCGGAAGGCCCATTTTGGCGGTTGGGTCATAAATGTGTTATTTTTCAAATTCTCATTTATTTTTAGTGTAAAATGTAAGTAAAAATAGTTTTCTTACATATTTCAAATAACTTGACGTTGTATTTATTTCAAATTCACACAAAACTATTTTTGAAATATTGTTCGAAATGTCATACAGATAAAAATTTTTTTTTAATATTTTAATATTTTGGTATGAGTAACGAATAGAAACACATAAAACATAAAAATATACATATTTCCAAACATTTTCATATAAATTTCTCCAAAAACAAAAGTGTAGAATTCAAATTAGTAGTAATTTTGTCACTAAAATTGAAGTATATACTACTACTATGCTATACAGGGTATTTTTATGTATTTTATTACAATTTCTAGCAACCAAAAATAATTTTATTCGATAGTTTATACATTCAACAAGAAATCCTGTAAGTTTTATCCATAAATATTGTCTCAAAGTGAAAATATAGCATATGTACATGAATACATACATGAATTCTGTCGAATAAAATATGACCGAGTAATATTATACTTTATTGTGCGTAAATCCTTGTGTTACTTGGTGTATTTAATATATAATATTACTGATCGGTGTATAAAATTTACACATCACAGTTCTAAACCATTTTTAACTAAAGGAAATAATAGAAAATATGTTTGACTTAGTTAAAAATAGAATTGTAAAAATTGCTTTAGGTCTCATATGATACCGCCGCAGTGTAGTGGTGGCGCAAGAGAATCCGCTGCCTCTTTATCATACCGTGGGTATTCCAAGTGGTCATGGGGAAACTGAAAAATGCGGGTTCATCAATTTACTCTGGTGTTTCAAATATCTCTTCTCTTCATTAACTAGCTTCTTTTATTGCAAATAGGTATGAATTTATTTTTTTAACAAGTACACTTACAATACACATGTATGACAATCATGAAAACACACATTTCTGTACTCTCTAATATATATATATATATATATATATATATATATATATTGTTATGTCTTATAAATTAATTTAAAGGGAAAATGTAATTTTAATAAAAACATTATCTTTGATCTATCATGTTGCATGTTACGAGTATATACAGTTCACAAAAAATAACTCTATTATTCGCGGGTTTTCTTTACGGAAGCATTTCTATCCATTTTTTTTTGTAAATCATTTATGAACTTTATCGCTAGGGGTAATTTTCAGGAGTTTCAAATTAAAAGAATATGTGAATGTGGAAATGTGGCCATGCCATCAAAGTCGGTTTGTTATAGATCATGACACAGCTATCACAGCCAGCTTTGATGAGCACGGCCCCATTCATAGCAGCTCGCTTTTTTGCTCATCACTCGCGCCTTTACCGCGCTGGAACTATGCCACTTAACGTTTCTCGGGCCTAGCCTGTCAAAGCGGCGGTGAAATGTCAACCCATCTTCATATCACAGCCACTTTGATGTGGTCGGTTTACGGAGATTCTACAACGTTACAGTGGTATGCGGTGCACGTGCTACGGGGATCCGTGGCCCATTCGTAAAAATGGTTGTGCCATGTTGTATAATCATATCACAGCCATTTTTGACGAGTTGGGCTGTGGAATGTATCAGCTGGAACGGCAGGACTAAGTGAGGAAGCGTCGTTGAAGTGCCAAGCAAAATACGGAGGGGCGGGGGACTGAGAGAAATCGCAAGATCGAACAATGTGAAGAGAGAAAAATTCAAGAAAGGGGACGGCGTGGCGAGGTCATCGTGTCGCTCACAAAGTGGTTGTCATGTGCGTTTCTAAGTCATATCACAGCCAGCTTTGATGAGCGACACGAGACCAAAACTCAGCAGGAGCAGAGAGGAAATAAAATTTTACAGAAGATTTCAAAAGGTGCCACGGGGGTCGGCAAAGTGATTGTGATATGATATTCCATGACATATCACAGCCAGCTTTGTTGACTTCCTTCCTAAGCAACATTGCACTTCGCCGGGAGTTACGGATTTTTTTAGAATAATTCTGATTTGTTTTTTATATGTAATTTCTTAATCCTACTACCACGAGGATGCAAATAATTTTGACATGATTAGAATATTATTTTATTTTTATTTATATTATTTTATTTTAATATTACTTTATTCTGTTTTGATCGTTATGACGAAATTGCAGCCGAAGCGACCCGACACCTCCCTTTTCTCAGAGGATTATGAAACGGTTAGATCACGCTACTCCAGTGCATGTTGACTATGGGTATGTTCCAAAACGTTTTCAGTGTACTGCCGAATACAAATGCCGTCATCAATTGACACTATAATACTGGCGTGCCGCCACCATATTGTGTCGGATATCCGGCCATAATAAATCAATTTTTAATTTTTCAGAATTTGTATTTATTTATTCAAATACAAAAAATTATAAAATGATATTGAATCTTAAGAATAATAGTGCTGCAGGTCATGATCAAATTCCTACAAGAATGTTAAAAATATTTCATAGTATTCTAGCGGAGCCAATATCGCATCTATGTAATCTTAGTTTCTCATCAGGAGTTTTCCCTGAGATATTTAAGAAAGCCACTGTGTCGCCTATTCATAAGGCAGGTGATAAAACCCTTGCTTGTAACTACCGACCTATAGCTTTATTAAGTGTCATGTCCAAAATTTTAGAAAAGATTGTTAACAAGAGGCTAATTGGTTATCTAGAATCCAATGAGTTACTATCTCCCAATCAATTTGGTTTTAGAACCGGTAAGTCAACGGAAGACTGTATACTAAACGTGACCTCACAAGTAAACAAGTACGTAGATGAGGGTGACAGATGTGTAGGTGTTTTTATTGACCTACAAAAGGCATTTGACACAGTGTCAACGTCGATTCTTTTGCGGAGGTTGGAGAACTTGGGAATAAGAGGGACTGTACTGCAATGGTTTCAAAGTTATTTATGTGACAGAAAGCAGTGCGTTAGAGTGGATGGACATTCCAGTAATGACATGCGATGTACATACGGTGTCCCACAGGGCAGTACTCTCGGACCGACATTATTTTTAACTTACGTAAATGACATGACTAAAATTGAGTTAAATGCCGGTAATATAACTATGTATGCTGACGATACCGTAATAATATTTCATGCAAAGAGCTGGGAGCGTGTGCAACAAGTTGCTGAGGCGGGATTGGCCAAAATTTCTAGTTGGCTAGAAAATAATCTACTTTCACTAAACACAACCAAAACAAAATTAATCTGTTTCAGCAAAACTCTAGCGGGTCAACCAAATGACGAATTAAAATTAAAGATTCATACAAGTCCATGTAATAAACTTGATGATGTTCCAATATCTTGTAACTGCCCTTACATAACTAAAACTAACACAATAAAATATTTGGGAATTATAATTGACGAAGCACTTCAGTGGAAACATCAAATAATATCACTTAGTAAAAAAATAAGAAAGCTTGTCTATGTTTTTAAGTTACTAAGGCTTGTAGCAAGTCCAAAGTTATTGTTGCAAACTTACAAGACTCTCTGTGAATCTTTAATATGTTACGGTATCTGTTCATGGGGCGGGGCTTGTAAGACAATTCTTGTCGAAGCTGAACGTGCCCAACGATGTATTTTAAAAGTAATGCTATTGCTTCCATTTCGTTATCCAACTACACTATTGTATGAAAAAGCCCGAGTACTAAGCGTAAGAAAACTTTTTTATCTATCAATGCATACGAAGGTACCATCGTATAACTGCACCATGTATCAAAATTGCAAAGAAAAGGACATTCAAATACCCGACCCCTAGAACAAGAAGTATTTTTGCGAAAAGACACTATAGTTACATTGCCCCGCATTTGTACAATAAGTTATACAGGGAATTTAAATTAAACTTAAATAATTACAGCAACCACCAAATAAAGGCAAGGATCAGAGTGTGGTTAGAGAATCTTGATTATGACAGCACAGAAGCACTTATGCCGTAGGTTTACCACAAGCAATACTCACACACATATATTCCAAAGCACACACACCCACTCACACACTTACACACACACCAACACACGAACACACACACACACACACACACACACACACACACACACACAAACAAGCGCTTAAAATAACATTCTTTTTATTTCTTATTTATATTTCTGTACTTGTTTAACTTACTAAATAACTAAATTATTATTATTATATAGAAATTGACCTTTTGACAAGGCTAACTTTAAGGGGAGGAACTGGTTCCTGAAACACAGTTATACTAGCTCAGGGACCAGGGAATCAATGAACATATGTAAAAAAGGTTGTAATTAAATAAATAAATAAAAAATAAATAAAATTGCTGGTATCTCCATTAGGAGGATATAACGATTTTTGGAGCACAAATTGACAAAATAATCGCCAAAACTTCCAATATGGCGAAATTGTTTTTGTTCAAACTTCCATTGGCGCAAATGTATGACGTCGTCATATACTGTCCTATGTTTTGGAACGAATCACCAGTATAGAGCGTCGATTCATGACGTCATTTGCATTGGACAGTACACTGGGTTCTATTTTGGGACATACCCGATATATTTATGTATTTATTTTGCCCATATAATGTTTATATTTTCAGCAATAGCAGTTTCTTGACAACTTAAAATTGTCGTTAATTTAAGTTATGCTGACGTATGCATGTTGTGTGTTATGTAATTTACAGCGAACCCTTAGGATACAATGGCTCCATAATATTAGTTAATATATATATTTAATTTATCGAATACTAATTAAAATTTTTAATTTTCAGGCATGCACGGTTGAGTGGGTTGACATGTGGCAGTACGAGAATATCTAACTTAGAAGAAATAGAGAAGTTCCCGTCGTCTATTTTTGAAAAATTAAAATTGAAGGTATACTAGGCAAATGTTACGGATGTATAAGAATTGTTCAAGGATCGCATCCTGAATGTACTGAAAAAAGATTACCTACGCATTTAGTAACTTTACTAAAGATTAAATAGAATCGGATCATGATTTTCGAGAAAGTTCTAAGCGTATTTGTTATCTATCTATTTTAAGTTAACAATAAAAATTTGTATGCCTTACAAGTAAAATTAAAATAAGTTATTTCCTTACCTTTGATTTTGTTATAAAACGTTACTTGCAAGATTTATCCCTTATTTTTCAATTATAATAAAGTACTCCAGACCAAGTTTCGGTCACAACTAGTCTGAACGGAGACTATCCACCTGCATTGGACAAGATCCTAGTGCACGAGTGTGTGCGCACACTCAGTTGCACTTACCGCAACCTGAGACGACCGTAGAGATCAAACGTGGGGAACCATAGGTTTTACGTGATTTCTGAGCCACGGATTGAATTATCATTCATCACCAACTTTCTGACTCCTGGCAGCTATTAAAAATTTATTGGCAGAAAACCATCAAACATATTATATTTAATTTTTCTCTAAAATTTTTGACGACAATCCGTTGAGCCATTATTTTTGTATGGATTTTCGAGCGTGGAGTTTTTCATTATTTTATCTCTATTGTTATAATTATACAGAACTAATTTTTATTTTTATTTTCAGATGAACGTTGAAGACACATCGGCAACCAGTTGAGCAAAATCTTCCTACGTCACAATTTATTACTTGTTTAAATAATATTTTTTACTTACCTACTTTCTAAAAATGTAATGTTTTGAAACGTCACTTAGTTGTTTAATCTAAAATCACAGACTACTAAGAGGATAATACGCATATCTAAAATACAATAAGAGACCATAAATTTTAATTTTTTTATTAAAAAAAAATAAAAGTGCTCTGCTCTGGGTTCGCCACATTCGCGTCTTTCATTGCAAAAATTCTAATAAAATACTTCTATAAAAATAAAATACTTCGGCATAGTCATCAATATGAATGAAGAGCGTAAAAATTTCTTCATTGGAATGGGATAAAAATTCTACAACCCACTATAGTCCGGCCGCTGAGTTATTACCGATTTGACACATGACGAATTGACAATACTAGTGAAGTGACTGAACCAGTAACCCTAATATCATTTGGGAACAGTTTGTTTTTAAATATTCTAGTATAGTGTGTAATTAAATAAAATCAAAACAATAATAGTTAAAGACACAGGTTCTTTATTAGGTGGAGTATCCTTGATGGGCGTAGATAATTGGTCGAGGACATATCAAAATAAAACAAATTTGTAAACACTGTTACACATTTTAATGAATAGAGTAGGTAGCCATACAAGATGTTTTAATAAATGGCTACCTATCATTTATTAAAACAATTATTCAGACTCTGAACCAGATTCGCCAGAGCTGTCATCGCTATCAGTCACTTGTATGACAATTTCATTCTCTATAATGGTGTCCACTCTTATATCGCGTTCATAATCTTCTGTTATTAGTGTTCGAGTCTTTTCGACGACCTTGACCCAATCTTCTTTCGTTATTTTGCTGCAAGCATCTTTTAATAGACCCATCATTTTATTAGTACTGAATGGCGGAGTCGTATTATTACGAGCTGCGTAACCTGTAATGTAAACATTAAATAACGTTAATTTATTACATTAAATAAACGAAATGTTACACAATTACCTACACGTAAGGGACATGAGATATTTATTTCTTAGTTATGTATCTTTTTACTTATATGCTGAATATTGGATGTTATAATAGTACAAATTATTCATATTCATAACTTATGCGATAAAAAACAATACCTTTGATTTGTGCCCATATTAGCTCAATGGCATTGTACTGGCACTGATAAGGCGGAATTCGAAGTACCCGATGTCCATGTGCTAGAGCTATCTCATCTACTTCATAACGGACTCTTGATGTTTTATTTTCGCGTACCAACTTTACTAAGTCAGACTTTAGCATTTCGGCAGTAGTTTCAATTCCATTTTGGTGTAGCCATGCTACGAGATCAGCTTTCTTGTCGGCCTGAGTAGGCGCTTTATTCACTTGTTTCGAGTGATATGAAGCGTTGTCCTTTATTATGATAGAAGGCTCTGGCAGGCTGGGTAATGATTGATTTTCGAACCAATTCGTAAAAGTGTCTGTATCCATCTCCTCGTGGTAATCGGAAGTACTTTTTGGTGCGAAAGCCAGCAGTCCATTTTCAAAAAAACTACTTCCAGCAGAACCGGCGTGACAAATTATCAGTCGCGATCCTTTTCCAATTGGAACCTTTGAGGTTGACGCTTTTGTTTCGTCAGTCCAAGAGCGTGACACAGTGTGGTTCGCATTTAACCATGTTTCGTCAACAAAAACGATGTTGTCCCAAGACTCGATTTTTCTGGCTTCTCTTAAAAACTCGCTCCCTTTAATTATTAAATCAAATCTTTCCATTAATATTTTCCTTTTATTCGTTTTTTTATATTCAAACCCAATTTCGTGCAATAGTTTTGACAACGCCGTTTTACCGCCTTTAAACAAGCCAGCTTCTTTTAAAGAGACCAAAAGCAAACGTCTAGTTGGAAACTCGTTCCTAGTATAATAACCATATATGTGGTTTCTTATTGCATCTGCATCAAAAACATCAACACCTGTCACGGGCTTTTGTCTTCGTTTTTTCTCAGGAGTGCGTAAAACATTATCTTCACTTCCAGAAGCACCAAATTTTTCTTTATTTATATTATATAGTGTTTTTGCACCAATTCCAAGAGCTTGTGAAACCCGATCTTTCACTTGAGTGACAGGAATCAAAGGGCCGCCATTTTGTGACTCACGCTCAAAGTAATCCTGTAGCTTTAGTACAAGCTCACGACATTGACTATTCAATGTTTTTCCTCGTTTCGGCATTTTCAACAAAATTACCAAACACAAACAAAATTAGTCCAATAAAGCGCAACGATAAACAGGAGAAAGCCGAGTCAAAAAACAACGGTTACACAAGAGAACGTAGTCTGTGCGCACGAGAGTACGGAAGACGACTAAACAGATTAAAATAGCGGTGGTAAGCGTGTTGCCAGAATAGTATCGCCAATTACTTAAAAAAAAACACCTATAACATTGCTTAATTGAGGGAGAAAATTATATTTATTAAATGTTGTTTTATATATTATGAATGTTAAAAATTATACATAATCATTTTAATTGTATTTATTTTTAAATCATAGAAAACAGTATTTCTGTCTTTGGATCACACATAAATCTTAAAAATCATAGAGATACTGGCAACACAGTGTAATTAGGAGACGCAAAACGATGGTAGCATTATAGTCTAGTTGCTCGAAGGAATAAGTAAAATAAAAATATCCAAATAAAATAAATATCATATCCATTCCAATGAATTCGGACCGAATACTATCAAGCACATCACTATGAAAACCAGACGCACGATGTAACTTTGTACAAGCGCGCCAAAGAACAAAAAATAAATGTTTTCATATTATTTACAAACTATTTTAAGTTTTGAAACAGAGTTTATTGGAAAATTACTTGATTCTGACATTTTGACATAAAGTTTTATATTAAAGAGGTATTCTAAATCATTCGGTAAATGTGTCGCTCGTGCAAGGTTATATCGATTAATTTAAGAATAATCTGTCAAATCGGTAATAACTCAGCGGCCGTACTATAATCCTTAGTTTATCCTCTTAATCTTCTCGTCTTAATATTTTTTTTCTTTTTTTACACTTTATGTATGTCTAGTTCCCAGTAACCCATGTATTATGTAATGATATAATTTTTTTATTAAAACAAAACAGTTGCATTGAAAATAATGTTACTACACTGAAGTGATATGTGCAGTTTGTTAACTAAATTGTTCAGTTTGTTACAGTACAAATAAATTTATTGTAAACTTAAATGTCCTTTATTTTAATCACTATTTTTTAATTCTTGAGTTGTTCCGTCAAATTATTATCAGAGAAAAGTCTGTTTACTACTTTTTATTAGTTCTTTCATCCATTCTTTACAGCCTTTAAAAAACACTGCTGATAGGCCTTCCCATATATTGCCTTATAAGGTGAATATTGCCACGCTTGGCTTATTATTAAGTTGTCAGGAAGAAGCTGCTACACAATGCCCATTTCATGTTTCAGATTTTTTCTTTTCTAGTTGATGCTTCCTACATATCCTGGTTTGTTTCGTTCTGTCGCTTCTAATACATACGTATTAGAAGATATTGTTACGTTGGTACTACACGGAAACTTATCGAAAGAACCAGGAAGGTTCATCCAAACGTCAATGACAGAAGAAAAAATAACGTGATATTCAACACCGTCAACGCGGGGGGTACCGCGATATTCCCCGTTTCTGCTACTGCATGTGAACATCGCACATAGTGCGTGCATTGCGAGGTGCTTGCGTGGAACTTGCGCACATCAGAGTAATTATAAGCATAGAGGAATCCTAAAACAAGAACAATTTTTTTGGATGTAGTTGAATTATTTTTTCATGAGACATTTAACTTTATTACTGTCAACTTTTTTTTAACAAAGTTGCCTGTCTTTTTCCTTTCCATAGAAACAGCATTTGATGTGCCGTTAGCGAAACAACGTTGAAAAAAACTACAGTTCCTGACAGACCACCAATCGATAAATATATTTATTATGCAAAATTTTTGCTAGAATTGCCCGACTATAACATTTCGTAACAATACTGATCTACTTTAAGGGCATGTTTAGATCATTGGACGAAAAACTCCCCGAATAAGTCAATTCGAGTAGGCTTTTGTAACTCGAGTCACTCGGGTTAATTTTCGAGTAGTTCGAATTAAATATAGGACTTAAATATAAGTCCCTGCATCGAGTATAAGTTTATCACTCGAGTAAGTTGTGATTACTTCAGTTAAAGCATTTTTAAATATGTAGGTGCTTACCTCTATTAAATAAGTAATGTGTCCAACTAGGTAAGTCCAACATCGACCGAGAGGTCAATCGACGAATCCAACGGCAGCGATCGGGAGATCACGGTACATCTTCTCGTCAAGTATACCTCAAAGCTTCAAAACAAGATTGTACAACCAGTGCAAGTCGCCATTGATGATTTATTAATCTGAGACGTGGTCCTTCACTGTTGGTCGTATGAGAAAGTTCAAGGTCGCGACGCGAGAGACATATCTCAGCGATGGAGAGGGTTATAGCTAGGGCTCGGGGTTTATCCGTGTGTTAAACTTAAAAATGATTATATCCGCAGCAGACCCAGAGTAACTGACATAGCTCAACGGATTTTTTTTATAAAAATGTGGGCAAACGAGCATGCGGCTCACCTGATGGTAAGTGACTCTACCGCTGCCCATGAACAACCGCAACATCAGGGGAATAGCAGGTGCGTTGCCGGCCTTTTAGAAAGGAGTAAGCTCTTTTCTTGAAGGTCCTTAAGTCGTGTCGGTTCGGAAAAGTCGCCAGTGGTAAACAATTCCACAGAGAAGTTGTACGAGGAAGAAAACTCCTAATAAAACGCACAGTGGTGGACCGCCAAGCATCCAGATGGTGAGGATGGATCGGGAATTTTGACGCGATGTACGTTTGTGAAATTTGGCGGCTGGAACTAATCCGAACAATTCCTCAGAACACTCCCCATGGAATATTCGATAGGAAACGCAAAGGGATGCAACATCCCTACGCAGCGCCAGCGCCCCGAGCCAGAGATGAG